CAAAAGTTTGTTTTCTGTCTGTGAGTCTGTTTCAGCTTTATAAATAAGTTCATTTGTGTAATTTTTTTTTAGATTCCACATGTAAGCGATATCATATGATATTTGTCTTTCTCTGTCTGACTTACTTCACTTAGTATCCTAATCTCTAGGTCCATCGAAATTGCTGCCAATGGCATTATTTCATTATTTTTTATGGCTGAGTAGTAGTCCATTGTATAAATACACCATAACTTCTTTATCCAGTCATCTGTTGATGGACATCTAGGTTGTTTCCATGTCTTGGTTAGTGTAAATAGTGCTTCTGTGAACATTGGGGTGCATGTATCTTTTTGAATTAGTTTCCTCCAGATAAATGCCCAGGAGTGGGATTGCTGGATCACATGGTAACTCTATTTTTAATTTAAGGAATCTTTATACTCCTTAAATTCCTAGGCAGGAATTTCTATACTCAGGCCTTCATCCTACTGAAGGAACCACTTGTTCTTTGCCCTTCCTTGTCAAATACATCTTCCATGAACTTAAAGCAAAAGAAACACATGTTCAAGTATCTCAGGAGAACTGGGTCAAATGAGAGGCCAAGAATTTAGAACTTCAGAGAAAGTTAATATGGCTTTAGAGCTGGGAATCTGTGTGACTTTCCCAGTCAGCTCTTGTGGGTCATTTACTGCTTCAGACTCACTTCCAGCTCCATACTGCCACCGTGTGGCCCCAGGGCAAATGCCAGGTCACTCTTACTTCCTTTTCCCTCGTAAGTGGGTGAAGGGGTACCAGGAAGGTGGCTCCCCAACTCTCAACCTTCCCCCTGCCCCTGCCTTACTCAAGGAGATCACAATTTTATTTTAGCTTGCATACATCATTGTCATTGCCTATAGTAAACAAAGATGCCCAGAAATTTCCTTGTTGTTAAGGAGTATTATTGGTCAATTTCAACCACATTTCTGGCTTCTGGATCCAAGAGTGAGCTGCTTTGGCCGAGGCTGGGGCTACGTAGCCCCTTGACAGGTAAAACATCTATTACATACAAGACACAGACAGAGTCATCTGGAAAATTCCTGACCTATACCAAACATAAAAGCCATTCTGAGAAATGCCCACAGTCAAGCAATTAACCTTCTCCTGCCATCCTCCGCCCCTCCCACCCCTTACCCCACTGCTCCCACAGGGTTCCAGGGGACTGAAGTGCTGTATTTCACAGCGTCCACAGGATAGCTCAGCCCAGGGACATCATCATTCAATTTCTCCTGGGCTGGGCTGTCAGAAATGAGAGTGACCCAGAGAGCACGGAATTTTCTTCTTGCTTCCCACAGGGACCCACCTCCCTGAACCCTAGCCAAGGTCCTTGTGCCGTTTCAGGATGTCTGTGAGCACTTCCTACAAGGACTGCAAAAGCTGTCATTCACAGATCCAGACACAATCCTGCCATTTCCTTCAGGAGCCTCCTGGAACAGGCCCCCAAGGTGGCCATCCCAGTGTCCAGTTGTCCCACTGGCCTCAACATCCGACAGCACCAGCTCTCTGGAAAAGATCAAGTATAGCCTTTCCATGGGAGGAACAGTGAGGGGCCCAAAGCCACCATCACAAGTAAATCCCCTCGTGTGATGCAAAGCTGGAAATATAATCGTGGTATTATTTGCTACTCTTTGCTATAGAAGGCATGGAGTGGACATGGAAGGGGCTCTGGCCAACCCTGACTCCAGGACTCCTCTCCCCTCTCTCCTTAGAGTCTTCTGGGCCCAGTGCCCCGGAAGTCACCCTCCGGATGCAATCCTGAGCCAGGCCATTATCTTCTCTAACATCAGAAGAGTGTTCTACAGTCTATGGCCTCACAGATCCCTCCCAACAAGGTGGGCATCCTTATCTCTGTTTAACAAATGAGGAACCTGTTGCTTAAGAGATTAGACTACTTGCCCACGTCAATACAGGTAGAAAAGAGGTGAGATCAGGACTCAAACCCAGGTTTGGGGATACAAGGCTAATATCCCTTCTGTCTCCCAGTCATCACGATGAGCAACGTTTACTTGGTACCTAGTATGGACACCAGGGTCAGGAACTGTGGTCTGAAGTGAGGGTGACTTATGTAAGCAGAGGAACAAGCAACTTCAACAGCTCAGGCTGGTGTGGGAGGCTCCTAAGCCCAGCTCCTTCGGGGCAGATGGACAGGGAAGGGGTGGTTGGACGTCAGGGACTGACATGAGCAACAGGATGCAGTGAAGAGAGACAGTGGGTTCCCACATCTCCCCTTGAGCCTCGGTCCCATTAGGGCTCATGTTCCACTCTCCATTTCTCATGTATTGAAAGGCTGGGATGCTTTGCTCATCCACAACACTCAGCTTAGGTTCTTTTATTTAAAGGAATTTAAGGGGTCTTCTTAGGGCTAAGTGGCTTCTTAAAGAAGGCACTCCTCCAAGCTTCCCTAGAAGTGGAGGGCTGAGTGAGTCTGTTCCCTAGAGCTGCTCTCAGGTGCTCTTAATTAGGTAAGCAACCCTACATAGTATGGGTTCATGGGCTTAGTGTAGTTCATGGGTGTACAAACCACCTACCCATCCACAGCCCTATTTGACCCTCATAATGAAGACAGCCAAGAATTAGCCGGCATTTTCCTGATGTTGGTCATGGTTGGTGGCGCAGTGGCAGAACCAGGACCCAGTTCTCCTGACTTCAGCTGATGCGCTTTCCACTGTCAAGGCCATCTCTCAGATTTGAACCAGAATCACGGTGGGGAGGTTATCCCATGGTATAAATCCCACTGGAGATAATGATGAACAGGACAAAGCCCCAGATTCTACCTACCAGGCTGTCTCTCCCGGCATCAGCATCACAGAATTGAGGCCAATAGTGAACGGTATGGCCATGGCAGAACCCACAGTCACCAGAATTGAGTCAAAAGGCGTAAACATCATTATGAAAATTCAACAATTCTTCTAACAGCCTATTGGTTAGAATATCCCTAGAGAAACTTTCACCAGTCTTGCCAAGTCATAAAAGGGGTAGAGCTGGCGAAGACCATACAGTTCATCTCTGTCCTGCAGAAGGCTGAGGCCCAGAAAGGGAGGTGACTAGCCCAAGGTCATACCTGAAGGCGGAGCCAAATTTCAAACTCTGGGCTCCCGCCTTGCTCATAGCAAACACGTGACATGTATGGAAGCTCTGAAGAGCCTCCAATAAATCCAGAGCCACGGCCAAGTCGCACTTTCTCAAAGGCTGTCTCCTCCATGCAGCCCCAGAAGAAGGAGCAGTGCGGGTCCCGTGAGGGGAGGAGAGAGAGAGACCGGTCCCTGCCACTTCTGATGCTCCCTCCCACTCGTATTTTTATTGTGACCATTTTCATCTCCTCCTTTTATCCCCTCTATTTCTCACACTCACTTGCAGCGGGGTCATTCCACTGAGAATATGCATCATTTGCCCCTGTCATCCACCCTGATTATAATGAAAGATGGACGGAGAGAAGGGAAGTAGCATTTGCAGACTTTCCTCATTACCAGGTGCTCTGCTAACCCTGCACCTCCCGGCAGCAGTCAGGGGGACATAGCAGGTGAACCCCCATCCCATTCACTTTTCTTCATTAAACATCCTCTCTCTACCAAAAAAAAAAAAAATCAAGAATTCAGATAGGGTCTTCCTCACACTTTTTCACTCCTTCCCTCTCCTGGTTGAATGGAGATGTGCTAGTCAGGTTAGGTTGGGTCAAGCAACCAACAGAGAAGACCAACCTCTGAGTTCTTGCTGCCTGTGAACCCCAGACAGGACTGTTCTAGGCCTGACCCAGACCTGGGGCCTCACAACTACCACCTGGGTGGTCCCCAGACACCCCATGCATATGGTAGGATCAGGGGAGCAGTTTGATTTTCCCTGACTCCCAGCATGTGTGATTGGGAGCGAATGAGGGCACATACAACCAGGGGTAGGAGCAGCCATTCTGGTCTCCTCACCCTGCCCCAAACTGGGCTCCCCGAACTCCAGCCCTGATGCTCCCAGCATTTACGCCCAGTGCTGAGATGAGCAGAGATCCTCCACTAGCCCCTGTGGGCAGCGCCACACTCTGGGGAGCGTTTGCTAAAAGATGCCAATCTCAGTGGTGACATCCCCAACCACCTGCTCCGAGTCCTTCAGTGACTCTACGGGCCCAGGCCTCCCGCTGAGTCTGGAGCTGAGGCTGAGGGCGGGCGGGCCACTGGAACGGGTCAGCAGCGTGGCGCGGCGGCTGGACAGGCTGCCATTGGAGAGCTGCCGGCGCATCCGGGGCCGGGGACCCCCGCAGCAGGCCAGGCGGCGCAGGGGGCGTGGCCACAGGTGGCTGTTGAAGCCCATGTAGATCCAGGGGTTGCAGCAGCTGCTAAGGTTGCCCAAAAGCATGGAGATGGTGAAAGCCACATCGGTTGAATCTGCCAAGAGAGAAGCACTAGGATTACAGAGCTTGAAGGCACAAGAAAGAGAGTCCTCATCCCTGCTGAACAGAGAAGGAAACTGAGTTCCAGAGAGGACCAGGGACTCACGTGGAGTTCTATAATTATAACGGAGCACAGCTGGGACTCGAAACTGGGACTTCTGACTCCAGGGTCTTGCCTCTCTGATTTGCTTATTTGTTTGTTTTGTGCTGCAGGGTGCTGGCAAGAGCTGAAATTTGCTCCAGGTTGACTTTAGAGGTGTAAACATGATTAAGGACAGGACCAGCCCAAATAGGAGACACTGTCTTTGTTCTAAAACCGAGACTTTGAGTCCCTTAGTGGATGTAGACCTAAGATGAGGCAACTTCTATAAAGCATGCAGGGAAAATAACCATGACTCGAAGCTAAGTTCAGGCACCCCCAGCCCATTTATGTCATAGATATGGGTGCACATTGCCTGCTGGATTCTGCCCTCCTTGACCCCTTGGGGTCAGAACCACTCATTCTGCCATTCAGTCATTGAGCACATGAGTATCAACTGTGCCAGGCCAGTGCCAGGGACCGGGTAGGGCAATCGGTGGAAGCGGACGTCCCTACAGGTCCCATGATGTCATCTCCAGATGCGCAGCTTCTAGGTACAGGGCATCCAAGCATCCCGTTCCAGAGCAGTACTTGTTTTCTGTCCTCAGAGATGATATCCAGAGAATGCACTGTCCTGTGGGGAAAACCAATTTCTCTCTTGGGCAGTCAAAATGTGAGAGTGCAACAACTCTGATAAAATTCCTCCCAGACACAATACTCTTTTCTGAAGATGAAATGAAACTCCTCATGCCAAGAGGAAAGCTGCTGGGATGGGCCCCGGTCTCCTGCTAGACGTACCACGGCTACAGCTGCAGCATGGGCTGCACACTGAGTTACCCGCTCTTCGGTGGAGGTTACAGAATCACTGAGCGCACTGCTGGAGCTGGAAGGAAACTTAAGCTAAGTCTTCCTGCTTTAAGGCAGCAGTCCTGCACCCTGCCACCATTTTGACCAACAAACTCAAAGGCAAAGTTCAAGTGCCTGTTCTGTAAGGTACCGCGAAAGCTCCAGAAATTCTGGGGCCTCGTGTGCCTCTCCTGTGGGTGTGCTCTCCGTTGTGGCCACTCATAGTCCAAGAGGAAGGGGAGACACAGGGTCAGAATATTTGAGATAAAACATGAATCATCAGATTGAGAAGCTGAAGGCATCTGGGCTTGGAAGGACAGGTTGAGGGCGCAGAAGTGAAGGTGAGGAGGGCGTAAGTGGAGGAGGGACCAGACTCCACAACAAACACAGCCTCCTTCAGTCTTGCCTAGGTTCCAGCCTGCTCCCCAGTTAACATTCTACCCAGGGGCTGCAGAAGACTTGGGAAGTTGCTTTGGCTAAGGGGTAGTATTCATCCCATCTGCTCCGTCGATGTCTATTTAGTGCCTAGGCCAGAGACTGAGGGGTTCCACAAGCTTTCTCACTTGGGAAGGGTCTATTTGATTTGTCCTCATCTGAGCCAGGCCCAGTGTAGGGGCTGGAGATGCGCCCTGGACACTGGAATCCGCAGAGGTTCCACCCCTCAGCCCTCAAACGTAGATCCACTATTAGTCACAGGCAGCTGCTGACTGCATCCTGGCAGACGCTCAACGGGGGATGGTCAAGGGCAGGGAAAAGGGCGAGGAGACAGACAGCCTTTCACCAAAGACCTGGGGACAGGAAGCCAAGAGGCCAGTGTGCTGTGGAGGGAATCTGGGTTTACTGGAAAGTAAGTTTAAAGTAATGAATGTCAGCCTAACTCAAAGGGCCCCCAAGAGCTTCCATTTTTCTGAAGGAGCACATTCTCTAAGGGACAAAGCTTTGTTCCTGTACTCCTTTCTCAGAGAAGCCCTTGGTAAGTTGTAAATCACTCTGCACATGGTCCTGAGGGACAGGCTCTTGACGCACAGCAGGCAAGCAGGAAAGCCTGCACTGGCCAAGCGGCAGGATCCCCATCTTTTCATAGGTGCCTTGATAAAGGGGTGAATGGCCATCTCACCCCACTGCCATCAGCTAAGCTGTGACTGGGAATAAAGCCACGCTATGGCTAAAGCTTGGCCCACAAAGACCTTGACTCGAGTCCTGGCCCCATCTCCTACTAGCAGTGGCACTTTGGACCTGTTATTTTACCTCTCTGAGTCTCAGAGTACTCAGACGTAAAGCAAGAGAAGGCCACCTCAAAGGAGCACAAAGCCTGAATGTACTTGGCGCTAGGAAGCCCTCCTTGCTTCTGTTCTGTGCTTGACGAGAGCAGGGAGGTCGGGATTAATGTGCTCATTGCTTAAAGGGTAATTTATAAATAGTCCCTTGTCCAGATTGATGTCCAAAAGGTGGCTAAGAAGGGGTACGGTGGGACTGCAATAGTTTAGTACTATTGTCACACTTCTCTTGCAGAGTTTCATGTTAATTTCTCATCTCTTGTTAATTTCACGAACGCCTTCCCCTTACTTCATCTCTCTACAAAAGCAAAGTGTTTGGCTTGAGTGTGTCATAGGATGAACAAAATGAGATTAGAAACAAAAGCTCAGGGAAGGGGGACCACTCCTTAAGAGCTGGTGGGAAGTGGTAGCCTGGTCTGCTGGCCAGTGAACCCTCAAGAAGTTTCCAGAGAAGCCTGTGCACAGGGCCTCCCACATTCCACTGGTCATACACCCTGAGATGTGCACAGGATGCAGAGTGCTGCGGAGCGCACCGTCACACCTTTTCACAGACACCCAGATAGGTCAACACGCACTTGTCCCCACGCCCTACTCTTCTTAGGGGAACAGGAACGGGTGTCTTTGAATATCACTCTCGAACATTTTGGCTTCCCAGGAGCCACACGTATCTTTCTGAGAATGAGATCACCTTCAAATGGCCTGACCATCCAGCAGCATCTAAAACTTAAAAGGCTGCTATCTACCTCACTCCAAAACAATGACCAGAACAAGGCCTCCCATGTGCCCACCGGAACACAGTCCTCTTGGAGGGTCCCATTTTATTTTTCACATAGGAGGTAGGCCCCTCTCCTCATCACTTTCAGAACCAGGGTTCTGAAGGTGTGGGGCACAGGGTTCAGGAAAAAGACAAGGAGAGGGGCCTGGGTCCTACTCTTCACTTTGCCACTTTCTAGCTGTGTGACCTTGGGAAACTCACATTTCCTCTCTGAGCTTTTGCCTCCTCGTTTGTAAAATGAAGGAGGTGAAATTGGAATTTCAGGGTTGTACACTAAGGCTAATCAATTGGAAGTGGCTGTTGAAAAGGAGTTCAAAGTTGTGTTCAGGTATAAGGGGAAGGATGCTAAGAGACATAGTTCCTGGGCAACAAATTGCCATCCCGGACCAAATCATTTGAACATCCCTTTCAAATATCAAGCAACCTGTCAGTTGCTTGGCCAAATCTACTAATGGGCGTATTACAGTGGGGCCACATAGTATTTTACTTTTTAATTTTTCTCTCTTAAAAAATATTTTGAGGGGGATTATTGATGTATTTATGTATGTATGTATTTATTTATTTAATAGCGGTACCAGGGATTGAAACTTGGACCTTGCGCATGCTAAGCATGCACTCTACCATTGAGCTATTGCCCTCCCCCTGCCATATAATATTTTTAAATGTTTAAATTAGTTAACCACAATTTTAAATATGGAAATTTCACGTCAAAGATACTCACATGACATCAGCTAGCTGGTTGGGAGTTGCAGCTGCCCCCTTTCACATGGGACAGGCACATCCTTCTTAATTGCTTCGTTCATTTGTTACCTGCCTGGCCCTGGGAGCCACTGTAACCTCATTCTAATCCTCCTCCTCTCCCTTCTCTGCATTTTTCCACCTCATACTCTACCCCCAACCCTGGCCCCAACCAGACCACACACTTGCCTTCATCAGGAGCATTTTCATCCCACACAGTCCACATCTGGACACTGAAGAAGGGTGCCCAGCAGGCGATGTAAGCCAGCACAATGATGAAGGTCATCTTCACAGTTCGGATCTTGGCCCGTGAGATGGTGCTAACGCTGCTGACCCGAGATGGCAGCCCCCATGTGGCTGCGGCTGGGTCAGAAGGTGAGGATCTCTTCCAAGTCCTCCAGCCACCTCCTTCTACCCTCTGGGCCTGTGTCTTGACTTTTAGATTCTTACAGATTTCGTGGCAGATGAGGCTGTAGCAGGCCGTGAGCATGGCCACAGGTAGGATGAAGATGGCCAGAGTGGTCCAGGTGATGTAGACCCGTGGTCCCCAAGGGAAGCGAAAGTCTGCCCAGCAGTCCAGTACTCCGGAGCCCTGGATCACCTCTCGTAAAGAAAAAATGAAGACTTGAGGGATGCTGAGGATGGCGGCCAGCAGCCAGGGAGCAGCGATGAGTGGGTAGGTGGACTGGTTGGGCTGCTGGAGGCTGCGCAGTGGGTGACAAACGGCCAGGTAGCGGTCCAGGGTCATGGCCAGCAGCATGTAGGTGGAGGCGAACATGCTGAGCACCTGCAGGTACTTGATGGCCCTGCAGAGGGGGTCGGGGCCCTGAAAGCGGTAGGTGATGTCCCACAGCAGCTGGGGCAGCACTTGGAAGAGCGCCACGCCCAGGTCGGTCAGGGCGAGGTGCAGCACAAACAGGTGCATGCGGGAGCGCTTCTGGGCTGGCTGTCCCACGGTCAGCAGCACAGTCAGGTTGCCCCCGGTGGCCAGCACCAGGATAGTGGCCAGGACTCCGATCTCCACCTTGGCCAGCTCCTCATCCCGGCCCAGCCAGGGTGTGGTGGCATTGAGGGCAGAGAGGGTGCCCCTGCGTGTGGGGCTGGCGGTCCAAGGAGGCCCAGAATCCATGGTGGAAGTTTGCTGGGAGGGAAAAAGAGGAGGAAAGGAGGAGGGAAAGGAGGAGGGAAAGGGATGGAGGGGAATGTGCATGCAAGTGGAGGGGTTCGATGAATGAGATGACGTGGGGAGGGGAAGGTTTAAGATGGAAGAAAGAAGAAATGTGGGGATGACAGGGAGAAGGGTGAAACTGGGTGGAAATAGTTAAAAGGTCAGGGATAGAGAGGATGAGGGAGAATGAGATCGGGAAGGAGAAGATGCTGATCCCAGAGAGGGGAGGAGGAACCCAGGAGCGAAAGTGAGGAGTGGTCAGGGAAGCAAGGTGTCAGGAAGGGAAGAAAGGATGAGGCTGTGCACAGTGAGGCTTCTGGAAAGGAAAGAAGGCTGGGGGAGCTGGCACTACTCCCAAATCCACCCCAAATTCACTTTCTCCAAACTTTTCTGGAAACGGAAAGCGGATGTCGCTAAGCCTGCTTGGAGGCG